TGGTGCAGGCAGGTGGATTGGGCTATATAAGAACAGGCCTTCCCCACAGACCTTTGCCTCAGCAACGAACTCCGGCTGTGGTGTGGTATGGATTCTGCCTTGCCTGCCAGCCTCCTTGTTCCTTCCTTGCCTCTTCTTGCATCCGTGGACCCTGTTGCCTTCATATGGTTTCTCTTGGCTTTGATCCCTGGACTGTCTGACCACAATTTGCATTATGCTTCTACTCAGCTGCTGTTTGGACTTAAAAACCTAGCTGGTTGCTCTTGGCTTGGATTGTGGGGTTGGTTCTCTGGGCTTGCTCTGGGCTGGGTTCTGGTGCCTCTTCTACTGAACCCTGACAGGCACAAACCACCAAACCACCTGATGGCGTAAGAAACAAAGAGGATTCTGTCCTATAAGTTTGCTTTCCACAACTAACTTCTTAAATTGATGTCTGAATAATGCAACAATTAATGCAAAGTTAGTTGGCTAACTTTGAGAACAAGACTCTAAGTTGGTGGTTCCCAGCCTTAGATAACTTAGGTGTTCTTGGACTACTACTCCCAGAAACTCCAGCCTTAGATAACTTAGGTGTCCTTGGACTACTACTCCCAGAAACCCTAGCCACCACAGCTGGCTGTGAAGGCTTCTGGGAATTGCAGTCCAAGAACACCTGGGTTACTCAAGGTTGGGAACCACTGCTCTAAGCTGATTTAGAGGCTTGGTTCAGGCACTCATGTGAGGTGTGTATGTAGAGGACTATAGAGTTTGTGCTTCCTAAATGTAATATGTGACATGGGCCTCCATAAGATGTATGTAGAGGATTCCATGCTCCTGTGTTTGGAAGGGACTGTTAATGTTTTTAAGACTTGGCATAGAGCCTTGGCATAATGTAGCACTTCATGCTGGCTGGAGGATTCTCAAAAGTGTAGTTAAAAAATTAATTAATTTTTCCAAGCTATGGCCTTAATGAGTGTAAAAGATTGATCACATCAGGCAAAGAATATTTTAAATTGCTTCCCTCAGACGATTAATAGTTTTCTTCTGTGCACCTTGTTTTGGGTATAAACTAAAGGCATGTAGGAATTCAAATAGCTGGTTTGGTTTGTTGCTTGAAGAACAAAGGTCCTTGTGAGGGTGTTTTTAAGAAAATTGTGTGGAATAGAGGTTGGGTATAAATGCAACAAACATTGTGCCCACACATGTAGAAGAATTTTCTTTTAGATTGTTCTGCAAAACAGTGGAATATCAGGGCTTGAAAATAATGTTTCTTTCTAAACTGAGAAGTGGTCTAAGCCTCTTTTGATGCTAGGATGGAGCCAGGCAGGTACTGTTATATATTTTCCCCCTTGCCTCCTGTCTGTTAACCCCAGATTCCTATTTGTATGTGATGCATTCATGTGTAACTTTCAAGAGACAGTTGTGTACCTGCTTGGAGAGAGGACCTGTTTTTCTCTGATAGCAAACACTAAGCTTTCCCTCTCTTTTTGTCTTTTGCTGGCAAGCAAACAAAAGACCCAATCAGGCTGCCATCTCTATCAGGATGCCTGACAGACTATTGCAAAGTGCCCTGAGAACTGTTTGTGGGGGAGAGTGTGGAGTTTGACATATTTCCAACTGATGTTAGCAAATGCCTAGTAATGAACAAGAGAGATTCAAGAAAACAAAATCAAAATGTAAACAAGTAATAGTGAAGCTAACTTTGAAAACTGTGGTGCAGTAGAATAACTATGAGTGTTGTAAATTAAATGTCTGTGTAGGGAAGCCTGCCCCAATGAGAGCTCCTGAAATGGATAATATCTTTAAGAAAATAAATCTCATTAAGGAAAGCAAACCCATGACAGCAACGTAAGCAAACTGTCGCCAGACAAATCCAATTATGCTAGTGCCATATTTTTCTTTTAATTAAATTACCTAGCCAGGACTGTTTCTCTTTCTATTATTTGCTTATTAACAGTGACAGTTTATAGTTTTCCAGATTCTCAGTTTTACTCTTTTATATGCATCTCTTTTTGTCCTTTTTTAAAAAATCAGATAAATAAGCATTACTTTGCCCAATATGAGATTTTGGGAATTTGTGGCTTTACTAGGAACTAGCAAATTGATAATAAAATTAACAAAACAAAATACGTATTTATCACCAGCTACCCATTCTAAATGGTTGGGGAAATCAAAATGGATTGCAGTCTTTAACATTATGTACGAATAAAATAATTTGGCTGAGGTACTGAACATGAGCAGAAAAACATTTCTGTTCACTTAAGGTCATGTGCTTCTCATTGTATTTTCTCACGCTCTATCTCATGATTAGACATGGGAACAAATAAGAAACAAATTGCGACATTCGTTAAAAATAGCTGATTTGTTAATATTCATCCCTTTGTATTTGTCAGTTCCAGAGACCCCGACAAATATGGACCAATATTTCTCCATTTTTATTCATCCCTCATAGGCAGAGAGGGAAGGCAGCCTTCCTTCTCTGCCTATGGCCTTTCCACTCTGCTTGCTAATCGGTGGGCCCATAGGCAGATAGCCCCTCCACAGCCTTTTCCTTCCCCTCCCTCCCTTGGCTATTGCTGGCTGAGCCACTGCTGCTGCCAGCTTAGCAAAGAGCAGCCTGTCATAAGGGAAACAGGGCCACCCTTTGCAAGGATGGTGGCTGCGGCTTCCCTTAGTCAGGGAAGCTACAGCTGGCATTTTTGTAAAGGGCAGCCTGGGTCCCCTTAACCTGTGAAAGGCAGGACAGATGGCGGGTGCGGACGATGGAGGCAGGGGGGCAGGCTGTGGGGGTGGAGGGCTCATTTTTTTTCTTTTTAAAGACAGGCTCAGGCTGCCTAAGAAACCTGATGAACCGACAAACTGATTTGTGGTTCGTCTATTCACAGGCAATACGTGGTTCCTGGTGTGTTAACCTTGACAGACCAGAAACCAGGACAAACTGCTATTTTGGTAGTTTATTCACAGGCAATAAATTCGTAGACCAAAAACCAGGACAAACTGCTATTTTGGTAGTTCTTCCCTATCTCTATGGTCATTATGTTTTGTATGGTTTGTTACCTTCAGGAGCAGACAGTTAGGAGATAGAAGCGGGGAGAGGAGGAGAGAAAGCACCTCATGAATTAGCAAAATCCGTTGGCTCACTGCAGCTTTGGATTCATCTGTGTGAGCAGGGATCTAGGGATGTATTCACTTGTGTTTATCCTGCTTTGCTTGCTTCAGCATGAGGTGATGACCTCACTAGCATATGTGAAACAGACAAGGTTTGTTACATAGACAATCCTTTATCAAAACATTGTACAATTTAAGATGTTGTTTGTGAGGTGCTTTGAGCACTATGTGTACTTTTATTCAAAGTAGGTCTTTTAAACTATACTTTTGTTTCTTGCTACTTGGCTAGCTATACTGATAGTTTATTTTTACATTGATCTGGTGGCTATAAATGCTTTGAATAAATACCAGTATTTACTATGTTAGGCAAGACCTTGGGGGCGGTGGCGGGGGAAGAATAATTTCTTTGACCTCTCTTAGTAGTATAAATCTTGGTTGATGTTTAACTGGGCAGACCTGTAGAACAGAGAAATCACTGGAGTGTGAAGTTACATGATTGTTCATATCTGCCAGGCAGACTTGTAAAAAGTAGGCAGGTTGACAGAATGTGTTTTATGATTTCAAATAATTGTTTCCTTAAGAGTAGTCATCAATGGTTTTTCCAGTTTTCTCTTATATGGCACGTTATGTTTGGGGCATGTGCTACTGTGAATCTTTTTTGCAAAGGGATTAACTGGTTTTATAGTTATAAACTTTTTAAAATTCTCATTGTGTAGGCTGTCATGAGGTGTGGTATAACGCTTCTTTGTAGTTGAAAAGTTTACATCTTTAGATCACCTGTTCTTAACTCAAGTGATGAAGGTGGAGAGGCCAGTTGAAGGAATTTTCTGTTTTTCTAACTTCTGCTGCAGGAGTCCTCCAGATGTCTTCAAATGTCTCCAGCTAATTATCAGTTCAAAAATAAGTTGTAAAATGTTGAACACTAAAATGGTGTGTCATTCTCCATCAGACAGAAAGGAGTCAAGGCCACAGTCTCTCACTTATACACTGCCTGCATAGCACTGTATGTACAGTCTCCACTGGAATGAAAATTTCATTGGTGCTCAATGGATAGTAATTTAAACTTCTTCATATTGGACATAAATTTACAGTGACTGCCATTGTTCCTCTAATGTGTTTGCCACTTGGTTCTTCCCTAGAGTACAGGGAAGGTATAATGAAAAGCATAGTTGCCTTTGAGAGTTCTGAGATATAAATAACAGTTTAATTATTAGAATCATGTCATATGCAAATACACTGTTTCAGTTAAAAGCAATCTGAGAAGTCCTGCAGTATTTCAGTAGATAAATAGTAAGGTGAAAGAAATCATTTGATTTGCTATATGAGATTACCCACTTCCACCTCTCAATCAGCTTTTTCTCCTGGATAGTTCCAGATCAACAGTTCTGTTGATGAATGTGCATCCGGTACCCTCTTGGGAAGGGGGTTAAAGCAGTGTCAAATGAAGATGGATTTTGAGCAGAATAGGCAGAACAGATATTAACCACACTTCCTTGCTTTCCCTGACACTCCTTCAGAATTATGTTCCAGATGAGGTCCATTGAATTTGCCATTGTTTGAGTTATGAACCTAAAAAGTTACAACAGCAAGTTCAATTTTACTGCACACATTTTGAGCATTGACAATAAAGGTTTCTTATTACTTGGATGCCGAGCTTGTTGGTGCAGTACTTTCTTTTCTGGCATCTCTGGACTTGAATGAATGTCTAAAAATCACTATTGTTATATGAAGGTGGAGGAGTTCTTCCTTCCTATTTCTGGTAGTGAATATTGTAAATGATTTCTTACTGCCCATAACTAGTCTGATGAATTTATTGCTTTGGGGGGGAGAACTTGTGATATAAGTAAGTGTATGTTGTATTGTCTCCCAGTGATGCAATGTTTAGTCTCTTAATTTCTTTCTCCCCAAAACAGAATTAGACCTCAGCTAGCCAAAGAGAAGATTGAAGGATGTCACATCTGTACATCTGTCACACCTGGTGAACCTCAAGTGTTCCTGGGCAAAGATAAGGCCTTCACTTTTGATTATATGTTTGATATTGAATCTCGGCAAGAGGAGATCTACACACAGTGCATAGAAAAACTGGTTGAAGGTTGTTTCGAAGGATACAATGCTACAGTGTTTGCTTATGGTCAGGTGAGCATTATGCATGCTTCCAAATGAACTGTTTGCTTTCCAGTAAATGCAAATATTTTTTTATGAATTAAAAAAGCAACTTCTAGGGAAGAACTTTGCTTTCATTCAAGCAGATACAATTTCAGATTTTGACACTGGTAAAGAGAAATAGATTTCAATCTATAAAAAGTTAGCAAGGTTTTTAAAGAATAATCTTGTGTATTTAGGATTAAATTGCAAAGTAGCAATTTATTTTAGTTAACAACCAGGCAGCAATTTTGAAGCAGAGGTACTAGTATATGCTAGTACCCCGGCTTGAATTACAGTAGCCCTAATTTGAGGTGAGAGCAATTGGATAAGGCCTATGCTGAGCTTGGAAGGTTATTATTTTTTTGAAAGAAACAGTTCTGAGTGCTTCACCTAATTAGTTATAATTAAAATTGAAATACTTTAGAAGTAACTCTTTACATTTGTTTTTGAAAAGTAATCATACTCACCTATATTACAGAATATGTATGACAGTAGTGAGGTGACATTTGAAAAAGTTAATTAAAATGGTTAGTTATATCACAAAAGGAGTGAAATTCTCCCTCATACGTTACGCTCATAATATATATTATGGCTTAGCTATTGCAAAAAGGAACTAATTACAAAGAAGTCATTTCCAAGCTGTGAATTGGAAATGTTGCACCTCTGACAGAACATCCTCTGGACCTATGCTGTCCTTTTCAATGTTCTGCTTCCATAAGGGAAAAAAAATCCTCATTTCAAAGGAGGGAACTGGCAACACAGAACACAGGTGGTATTTGTCCTCCAATAGCAAATCAACTTATTTTCGTGCTGGGAAACTTTAACTTGACTGAACCTTTTCTCTTTTTCAACAGTTTCATATGAATGTTTAAGGCAGCCAGTATTGAGGACAAGCGCTCAGTGCACTAGATACCCAATTAATGGATTGTAATTATTTACTATTTCTAACATAGTTGTTCCAAAGGCTAAATATTGGCAGGCATAACTGTATTACTGCTAGTATCATCTCATTCTGTAGAGCCCAACCTTGGGTCCTCAGATGCTCTTGGAGTACAATTCTCAAAAATCCTGGCCAGCACAGCTAGTAGTGAAGGCTTCTGGGGTTTGTAGTCCAAGAACATCTGGGGACCCAAGGTTGGGAGCCACTGCACTACCATAATCACAAGTGGTCAACAACTCAAGTTTATGAGTATTACTGCTAGTATCATCTCATTCTGTAGAGCCCAGTTATTTGTCTGTAGATACAGGAATTCCTCTAGCTTTGTGGTTCCCAACCTTGGGTCCTCAGATGTTCTTGGAGTACAATTCTCAAAAATCCTGACCAGCACAGCTAGTAGTGAAGGCTTCTGGGGTTTGTAGTCCAAGAACATCTGGGGACCCAAGGTTGGGAGCCACTGCACTACCATAATCACAAGTGGTCAACAACTCAAGTTTATGATGGTGAGCAATTGTCTCCTGGCTTCCTTGCGTTCAGACAAATATGCAGTTGCTTTGTTGATGGGCTTACATATACTGTTGACACTTTGAGCTGGAACAAAAAATACTACTGTACCCCCTTGCGTGCATGTTTTGAATTGCCCCTTTCTTAGCAACATCTGTAGAACTGAGTCCCTGACACTTTTCCACAGCCATTTCTCTGAAGGAAAGCTTAGCTTACTCTTGATATTATAGGTTTAGTACTCCTTTCTTTTCTGTAAATGTCTTATTGCTTTTGAAATATTATTTCCTCATAATGTAATTCATGTGGGAAAATGGAAAGTGAGTAGCTGGAATCAGAGGCCGTTTTGACCAGCACTAACGTTTCAGAGAGCATTAGTACTCCTTTCTGTCACCTAAATGTCTTATTGCTTTTGAAATATTATTTCCTCATAATGTAATTCATGTGGGAAAATGGAAAGTGAGTAGCTGGAATCAGAGGCTGTTTTGACCAGCACTAACGTTTCAGAGAGCATTTAACTGTTTTTTATGACATGGAGTTAGTCTTTGTATATATGTATTTTATTGCATCTTAATGATGTTTGGTCTCTTAAATGCAGACAGGTGCTGGTAAAACATACACAATGGGAACTGGATTTGATGTCAACATAATGGAAGAAGAACAGGGCATTATACCACGAGCTGTAAAACACCTTTATAGATGTATTGAGGAAAAGAAACATGCAGCTATTAAACAAGGGTTTCCTCCTCCAGAATGTAAAGTGAATGCTCAGTTCTTAGAGGTAAGACTTCATAGTACAGTGTGTCACTATGCAAAGCTATTTGGAAATCCTAATGCCTACTTATTCAGTTCTGATTGTTATAGCAGTAAATATAATATTTGTATAATTATATACAAACATTATATTGCTAACATGCGCTGGATTATGGAGAAAGCCAGAGAGTTCCAGAAAAACATCTACTTCTGCTTCATTGGCTACGCAAAAGCCTTTGACTGTGTGGACCACAGCAAACTATGGCAAGTCCTTAAAGAAATGGGAGTGCCTGACCATCTTATCTATCTCTTGAGAAATCTATATGTGGGACAGGAAGCAACAGTTAGAAGTGGACATGGAACAACTGATTGGTTCAAAATTGGGAAAGAGTATGACAAGGCTGTACAGTATATTGTCCCCCGGCTTAATTAATTTATATGCAGAATACATCATGCAAAAGGCTGGACTGGAGGGATTCCAAGATGGAATTAAGATTGCTGGAAGAAATATCAACAACCTCAGATATGCAGATGATACCCCTCTGATGGCACAAAGTGAGGAGGAATTAAAGAACCTCTTAATGAGGGTGAAAGAGGAGAACGCAAAAAATGGTCTGAAGCAACATCAAAAAAACTAAGCCATGGCCACTGGCCCCATCACCTCCTGGCAAATAGAAGGAGAAGATATGGAGACAATGACAGATTTTACCTTCTTGGGCTCCATGATCACTGCAGATGGTGACAGCAACCCCGAAAACTTGAAGCTGAGGCTCCAATACTTTGGCCATCTCATGAGAAGAGAAGACTCC